TGTTATCACAGTTTTGTTGTTTTTGTTACATTTTATCCTTAATATTTCAGTTGTTAAAAACGCTATTTGATATTTATGTCACAGTATCAGCGACACAAATATCAGACAAAACATTAAAAATTTATAAAGGACTTTTTTTATACTAGACAAAAACATTTTTATACTTGGCAAAATCATTCCTTCAAAATACACATTAATTCATTATGCAAAAATAAAGGGCAAATGTTTACCATTTCTTGAGGATTCGGACAATTTTGGCTGAAATTTTCTAATAATGCTAAATATTATCATATTGCTATGCCTGAATTTTTTTAGTTCTCGGAGTTAAATGATATGTTGATTTTAAATCGTGCTTATAGCACATCAAAGACATAATGATGTAAATTTCTCCAAAGAAGTAAACACTAGTAAATTTAACTTCATAGCATAATTTATATATTAAGATTACCTTACTTCAGTATGAATACTTTACTGGACAGAGGCACTTTCCCCTATAATTTGCCTCTAGATATCACAAGGGTCTTCTTTAAGTCATTGAAAGTTATATAAAACTTGAGAAAAAAGATCAAGGTAGAAAAGTTATCATGTGGAAACCATTTTTGCATTGTATGAATTTCTAACTTTCGCCTTTGACATTTAGACCTGAACATATTCATTTTAAGTCTTCAGGAGTTATGATAATTAACTTTATTGATAAAAGAATAAAAAAGAACGAAAGTTGTTTTCTGGAAATTATTTCATGCAATATATATATTTTTGACCTTGATCTTTGACCTCTTGGCTTGAAATCGATAAGGATTTTCTTTTGGCCATTGAGAGATGTGATTTAAAATTTCATTGCAAGTTTTCAAAGACTTTTAAAGATATAATAAATATGCATGACCCTCACCAGGTATTTAGTGTATCAGTTACGTAACGATCGTGATTCATTATTTCACGAAAGCAGCATCAATTTTCAGGTTAAGGAATACTTCATTTATCTATATTGTCAAAAAATGGACACATCTCGTGTATACTCTTGCGAAAAAGACGATTAAACGGGGTATCTCCATGCTCAAATTGTCATTCTTAAACCCACAACGCTATGGAATAAATTCAATACACTCTTTAAATATTTATTAAATACTGTAAAATCATATATTTTCGGGGGGTCAAATTTTCGAGGATTGAGGTAAAAATATTACTTTGATGAGAGGCTTTAATTTTGTGGCTGAAGAAGATTCACGATACAGTTATATAGACTGAGCATTTCGTAGGGGTTTCGTCATACCACTAAATCAACTAAACCCCCATTAAAATTAGGGATTTCATAGCAATGGCATAAAACAAAGGCTATGCATTAGAATCAATGGCCGATTTATCAAAAATTCTGTTTAATAATAAATTGGTTTTTCACTGTTAAATAAATTTTGATCCACCTATCAGCGCACATAATATGCTTGAAAGTTCTCTAACATGATTCTTATCGAAAACTTCACTGCGATCAGCTACTTGTTTACATCTTGATTCGTGGTACTTAGCTATAGACAAAAATGAATACAATGCTGTATTTTAAGTTTGGGTTTAGTTCTATACTTTTAACTGTTATAATTGCAAATTATTTCGATAGGGGTCTGTTCTAGACCAAAAGGAAATTATGATATATAATTTCATTGAAAAAGTTCATGGACTTCTTGAGATATTGTCCAGAAACAAAATGTTACACACAGACAAAATTACAATCTGAAGATGTTACACACAGACAAAATAACAGTGTGAAGAACAGAAGGACGGACAAACGGAAATACCCAAATTAATATTCTCAACTTTCAGTGAAAGCAGGGACAAAAAAGTTTGAATTTAGGGCTACTGTGGAATCATCATTGTTCGTGGGGGATCAATGTTCGTGGATTTCGTGGGTAACCCTTACCCACGAATTTACATCCCCACGAACAATTATTTTGTCAACGTACTGATTAATTAAATCTACCAAATAAACGAGCTGCCCACAAAATTACATCCCCCACGAACCAATAAAATTTTGCTTGCCCACGAACATTGACCCCCACGAATTTAAATGATTCCACAGTAACCTTTTACTTACTTCTTCTTAAATAGCGAAAATACTGTTAAAATGGTCAGTTTTGAAATTTAGAAATAAAGAATATAGAGAAAAACGAACAGAAACCAAGGTCAAAAGTTCATGGAAATATACAAAGGGGAACAGAGCAAACACGGGCGTCCAAAAGCATCAGAGTTGGGATGGGGTGCCATGGAGGAGTAAGCATCCCCTGTGGACCGGTCACATCAGCCATGTTGTCTTGGTCATGGTCAGGCAAACGAAAAAATCCCTAGACAATTTAGTGTGTATTGATAATGGCCTATCAGTTAGTATGAAAACGTTGGTCAGCATTCGACTAAATAATAGATTACATTTGCTGAAAAGGTCATTGTATCGACCAGAGAACATGCGAAATGTTGACTTCAAACGAGATTGTTAGTATCCTTGTTTCATCAACGTGTTTGTTAATTGATTCCTCCGTTATAAAATTCTTCGTACGCAGAGCATGCCCTAGAGTATCAACTGGGAGACATTAACTCCATGTGCAGGTGATAAGGGTTTATTGCTACATAAATAAGTCATCACGTTTATCATTAAGTTTTTTTTTTGTTTTGTTTTGTTTTTTTGCTTTTTTTTTGTTTTTTTTTTGTTTTTTTGTTTTTGTTTTTGTTTTTTTTTTGTTTCTTGTTTTTTTTAAGCTATCATTGTCGTCTCTTTCTGGAAAAATATCCAAATATGAAACAGATTTATCAGACATTTTGGTATCTTTTATTTCAAGTCCACTGGGATATATCGAGTCGACATATGAATGGAAGTAACTACTGTGAATTGATAATATGTCGCCCATATATCTATATGTCAAGTTGAAAGCCACAGCATATGTTTTCCTCTTATCATGTAGAAGTTTGAATAAATTCTACTTCATATGAATATATATCATTTATGACAGTAAATAGTTTTATGCTGACGAATGACTTAATATTGCAAGTTGTGTTTCATATTTGTGTTATGTTCAACATATATATTTGTTCATATAGTAATTTAGTTGTAATGGTAAGCCCTTACAAGGGCCTCCCCACTGGGAGCCTCAGGGTCATTGCGGCAATCTGATTGGTTGAGAGTTAGCGTTGCTTTGTACGATTTGTGAAAGAAAAGTAGACATATTTTGTAAGAGGAGGCTGAGAGAGATTTAAAAAAAAAAGATTTTATCTGTGTTTACGGCGGAATCCCTAAATAATATCTTAAGGATCCATTTGTTATTTTGAAAGGTAAAGAACATTGTATCTATTTCCAGTTATACGCGTTCGCCACACGATTTCAGGCTAGTACACAAAGTTCATGTTTGTTTACTAACGATGTAGCTTTGCATGAGGAATGAGTACGCCAAAACATTATGTCTAAGAAGGTCTTGATCATCGGTCACAGTTTTATTAGGAGATTACAGTGGACTTTGTGGCGATCTGAGGACATAAAACAAAATTTTGGACTTGATCTGGATCAATGTGTTGTGAGGCTGTGCGGTCTCAGCGGGGGCTCTCTGGACAGACTTCAAAGGGACGCTAACGTCTATTCGGAGATACAGTCGTTTCGGCCATGTGTTATCATTGCGCAAATTGGTGGAAATGATATTTGTAGTGCGGAGATGAAACCAGAAGTGTTTGTGTGTGATTTGATAGAGTGGGTAGAAGCTTTGTTGAAGCAGTTTACTTTTCTTGACAGTGTTTTTATTTGTGAAGTCTTCATTCGCACCCGTCCAAGACGCATAGATGCACAGACTTATGAAAGAAGCGTACCATTATTAATCAGATGCTAAAGGACATGTGTGAAGTACATGGTTCTATTATGTACTGGAAACATCTTAGACTCATGCACAGCCCATTGCAGATTATTAGCAATGATGGGGTACATTTATCCAGAATTGGGAATAAAAAGCATTACAGAAGTTTACGACTGGCAATTATGCATGCTGTTCGTCACCTGGCAAAAAATTAACAGGGATGTATATTTCCAATTTCTGTTATGGTTCTCCTCCTCTTTATAAACTTGTATAATGGGTGTATGTGTTTATATAATTGGAAGTGATTATTCAAAAAAAAAAAAAAAAAAAAAAAAAAAAAGATGAATTTGGTAACTTTGAAATAACATTTAGACCAGTTTGTTTATAAACCTGGCCTTCGGTAAATGATATTCGCCATTAAAATTGGGAACCTTATATTTATCTTACAATTGCCATTTGTTTTATTTATTCGGCCTCACATTGGCTTTATTATAAATGTAGCCAAGCCCTTTAGCTTTAACCTCAAATTAAGAGGTTTGCCTGGTAATTTGGTTCGGTAATACCACTTTATTAGTAGCCAGGTATTTTGGTTTGAACTGAATAGCATTATGCTAACCATGTATTTTGGTCAGCATCATCAACCTTAAAAGCCATATATTTTGGCTTTAAACTAATATTGACCTGATAGGCCATGTATTTTGGTTATTACATTATACCAACATCATAAGCCATGTATTTTGGTCTATAGCCATATCAACCTTATAAGCCATGTACTTTGGTTTAGTATCATATCAACTTTAAAAGCCATATACTTTGGTTCATAATCGTATCAACCTATAAACCATGTATTTGGTTTATTATATTATCAACACTTTATGCCATGTATTTGGTCTATTATATTATCAACTTTTAAGCCATGTATTTTGGTTTATTATATTATCAAATTTCTAAGCCATGTATTTTGGTTTATTATATTATTAACTTTTTAAGCCATGTATTTTGGTTTATTATATTATTAACTTTATAAGCCATGTACTTTGGTTTATTATCATATCAATTAACCTGATAAGCTATGTAATGACCATGAATTTTGTATAACGGTACCATATGAGCATCGATTTTATCTTGCCAAATACATAGCTGTAATGCTTTGCTTCTTGCATTTCAAACAGTATAAATTATGCGTATATATGGGGTATGATTTCAGCCATGTATTTTGGCATGATATAAATCAAGGGTCATTTCATGGCCTGTGGCATACTAGTAACTTTAGATATATTTTTTACAGTCTTATTTGGAAGCTGCAAAATGAGGAAGGCCCAAAGAACAAAGGACAAGGAGGAAAGGCCTGCAAAGAGGAGAAAAACAGGGACAGAAGAAAGCCAAATGGTACTTGACATAACTCAAAATGTGACTGTGACTGTCCTTGCGGAGCTTCAAAAAGCAGGTATTTTGCTGAAGACTCCTACCACTGACTCTACTTCTCTGAGTGACAATGCCAAATCTACTTCCACAGAAACACTGCCAGGAAAAACAACAGCATCAAACGCCACAAAGGAAACCGCATCTAAGGAGACTCCGATAGAGCAACCCCAAGAGGATGTTGTAGAACTACCTGCCTCATCAATCCCAGGTTCATATAGGAATTCTGTAATTTCAGATAGTTTTGATAATGACATGTACAAACCACTAGGCAGGCCCTTATACACCAAGGTATCTACGAAAATCATAGAAAAAATTTGTGCTAATGAATTCATTGAAATGTCAGATGTGCTAGATCCCCCTTCTGATTTAGAGTTTTTAGATTTTCACCTAGCGGTAAAAAACAAAGGAAGAGTAGGTCTGAGTGCGGGTAAGAAGAAGAAGTTTCTTACCATTGAAACTTGGACTGATGCTTTTAGTATTTATGCATCAGTCCTCAGACACTTTAACAAAACTGAGGTTAATCTACATGAGGATTTAGCCATTTACATGGATTTGATCAGGTCGTTGCAAAAAAGATGGGGGGGGGGGGACTGGTACCACTATGATATCAATTTCAGAAAGGCTAAGCAGGCGGACAATACCTTGTCCTGGAGACAAATAGATCAAGTGCTCTACATTAGGGCCCTTGTGAAAAAACTGGGAGGTTCCCAAGGTAGTGTAGGTTCTTTTCGGAAGCAGCCCTTTCGTGAGTACTGCTTCAGGTTCAATGAAGGAAAATCATGCCACTCGGAATGCAAATTCCCTCACATCTGTGCAGCTTGCTACAAAGACCACCCAAAATCCCAATGTTGGAAAAATAATGACAGAGCAAATTACAACAAAAGACAAACATACACAAAACCTAGCTCTTCACAATCAGCCGAGAAAAAAGATTAACTATCTTCCCACCCCCATCAAAATCCACAGATTAGAACATTATTTAGAAGGGTATGACAATAATAAAGCACAGTACTTGATAAATGGTTTCAAAAATGGTTTCAGTCTAGAATTTACAGGGGAAAGGGGGCATCAATTCAGTCCTAACCTCAAATCTGCATTAGAACATCCTAACGTTGTTTCTGATAAAATTTCCAAGGAATTAAGTGCTGGTCGCATCAAGGGTCCTTTAATTTTAGTCAACCACCCTTTACTAATATGAAAATTTCCCCCTTAGGTATTGTTCCTAAGAAAGTGCCGAATCAGCATCGAATGATACACCATTTATCTTATCCTAATAGAAAAGAAGGCTCAGTAAATGCGGGAATATCTGATGAGGCAGCAGCTGTTCATTATTCTGGAATTAGTGAGGCTATTTCACATATCAAGGCTATTGGTGAGGGTGCTTTTTGTTGTAAAACAGACAAAAGATCAGCTTTTCGCATTTTACCTGTTTCCCCGAATGATTATGAGTTATTAGGTTTTCATTGGGAAGGCAATTATTTTTATGACAGATGTTTACCAATGGGTTGTCGCACTAGCTGCAAAATTTTTGAAGAGTTTAGTACTGCCATTGGGTGGATTGTAGTCCACAAGTTAGGTGTTGCAGCTGTTGTTCACATTTTAGATGATTTTCTTTTTATTGAAAAGTCCAAGACTTTAGCATTGGAAAAATTTAAAGAATTTCTTGAAATATGTGGAGATATAGGCATTCCGTTAGCTGCAGATAAAACTGTTCTTCCTACTCAGGTCATTGAATTTGTTGGTATAACAATTGACATTAGACTTAAGGAGACCCGTTTGCCAAGTGACAAAATTGAAAAATGTATAGGCTTGTTGTCTAAGTTTCAAAACATAGAAAAATGTAAGGTAAAAGAAATGCAGTCACTTATAGGAGTTTTGAACTTTGCTTGCTCAGTCATACTACCAGGGAGGGCCTTTTTAAGACGTATGATAAATTTGCTATTAGGTGTTTCAGAAGAGCAAAAATTCTTAACAGTGCATAAAGAGTATAAGGAAGATATGGCTATGTGGCTTGCATTTCTTAGGAGTTATAATGGCAAAACTATGTTTTTAGAAGAACAATTTTTATCAAGTAACTCCATGAAGTTGTTTACTGATGCAGCGAAATCCAAAGGTTTTTCAGGAATTTACAATTCAAGATGGTTTTTTGGTTCTTTCCCAGAGCAATGGAGAAATTTAAATATCATGACACTAGAATTCTATCCAATTGTGCTAGCAGTGTGTATGTGGGGAGATTTGTTGGCAAATCACTCTTATTTTTTACGGACAATGAAGCATTAGTTTCTGTCATCAATAAACAGTCAAGTAAGGACAATAGGGTCATGCAGATGGTTAGACATCTTGTGCTCACGTGTTTGAAACATAATATCAATTTCCACGCTAAGCATATACCGGGCAAGAATAATGTTCTAGCAGATAGTCTTTCTCTGTTGCAGGTAAAAGAGTTTCTACATTTGGCACCAGATGCACGAAAAGAGCCGTCAGCAATTCCGGAAGAACTGATGCCAAACAACTTTTGGACAACATTGCAAAATTGGCCTCAGCTGCATTAGCCCCTTCTACAAAACTTACTTACAAAAGAGCATGGACAACATTTGATACTTTCTGTGTGTCCTTTAAGATACCCAACACTGTTCCATTGAGTGTAACTACAGTTGCTCTTTTTGTGTCATATTTGTTTCAAGAAACCTTCTCTCCCAGAACAATTTCAACATATTTGTCTGCAATAGCTTATGTTCATAAGATGTTGAACTTTGAAGATCCAACTCTTTCATTTTTCATTCAAAAGCTAGTGGCAGGGTCTTATCGACTAGGCAATACATTTGATATTCGTTTACCTATTACGACGAATATACTGAATCGTCTTCTTGACATTATCCCAGACGTTATTAACAATAAGTATACACAACATTGTTCAAAGCATTATTTTTGTTTGCATTTTCATCATTTGCTAGAACAGGAGAGCTGATATGTGCGGCCCCAGAAAAAGCTAGTGATGTAGTACAATTAGCAGATGTAACAATTTCCTCCGTTAAAGGTAAAATTACTGCTATACATGTGTGTTTCAAAAAATTCAAACATAACTTTGATGGTGTACCAAAGGTCATCTCCTTTGCTCATGGTGATTGTAAAATTTCAGCTATATCAGCAACCACTGATTATTTGAAAGTTAGACCTAATTGTCAAGGCCCAATGTTTGTTTCCAATACAGGATCATCAATCCTGCGTACCACTTTTGACAGAACTTTGCAGAGTTGCTTACGCCTTTGTAATTTGGATAGTACACGTTATAAAGGCCATAGTTTTCGTATCGGGGCTGCTACTGTAGCAGCAGAGAAAGGCCTATCTGATGCCCAAATTAGGTCAATGGGTAGGTGGCATTCAAATGCTTTCTTAAAGTATATCCGCTCTAATTTGTAAGGATTACCACAAATTGTACCATGACAATGAGTTTTCCCCTGCTTACCCATATATATATAACCTGTTTTACTAAAATGCCAAGTTACCTGCTTGGGCTGGTAGCTTTCATTTATTTCATCTGTTAGAAGATTATTCTGTTTCCTGTAGGGTATGGAACCAGTTTTTCATTTTTGTTGCCTGACATTTGTGATCTGAAAGTTGCTTGCTGGGGCCAGCAACTTTCCTTGTTTGGAACATGAAAGACTATAAAACATCACAATTCCCCCATTTTAAGTTAACTGTATAATGACTTGTTACTTGCTTGGGGCTAGTAACTTAATGTATATAATACCTCAGTGCACAGTTTTTGTTTTCTTCCTTAGAGTTTACCTGATCTAGTCATTAGTCAAAACTTCCTTCTAGTCATTAGTAAGAATTTGAAGGAAGATTTAGGACAGATTATTTGATTGCTTGTGATATCCTTTGCGTTTGAGCATAACCGGTTGAGACCTTGTTTCATGTCCCTGCGTGGCTTCTGGTGGGGTAGTTTCAGCAAATCTCCTCAACTTTTTGAGCCTTTGGACCTCACCTTCTGCCACTTACAATGATTTTTCTTGTCATGTCTGTTTCCATACAAATATTTTGGAATATTGTAATTTTGATGTATTATACCACTTCTTGTGTTTGCAATTGGTTAAAGTTACCAAACTTCTAATATACATGTTTGTAAGTTTAGACTTGTACATTTTGCTAATGCATGTAATTTTTACTTGGTCTCAAACAGGTGTTTGCTTGTCAAATTCTGGTTTTTGTATATACTACCTTGAAATCTATCAAGCCTTAATAAACAACAATTTCAAAGCATACATGTGTTAAGTTATAGTTTTCTAGGTTACTGTTCATTTAATTTTTGCTGGAAAGAGGAAGCATAAAAAGATATGTATTTTAATAAACGGGTGGAATTCCGACTTATTGTTGGAAGACTTGATCTCCAAAAACTTCATAGATGCTGTCAATCAGAAACTCATGTATCTTTTTAAAATCAACCTCGGATTACTTGTTTGTACAATCAACAATTTGTTTAGCAAAATAATTTGCAAATTTCCAAAATCAAAGTAGGTACATTTACGAGTTCCACGGAGAATATAAATTAAGAGTAGGAAAATCTCCGTATAAACCCAGAATGGTCAAATGAATATGTGCTGTGAAAAATTACACATGCACTAGTTTAGGTTTTGGGGTCCGTTTAGTAACATATTCACCATTCTGTGAAAAAAAAAAAAAATAATGATCGACTTCTGAAATGTAAAACACGAATTACTACATTTCCTTGAATAAGTTTGCTTATAATACATAACAAATTCTCAATAATATGAGGTCACATGGGAACTTCTAAATCCAGACCAGAGAATATTCCATTCACGTGCTTAATTATCAAATAAGATATTTGTCGGTTAGATTTTATGATTTTAACTTAGAAAAGAAACAATGATTGAAAATACATTTTTATATAAATCGGTCTGCTACAAAATTCGTGTACTTTTTTTCGATCCGTAGTAAAGAAGAGGAATAAGATAGATTCTGATCCTAATCTAATTTATTTTCTGGCTGATCCAAGTTTTCCTCAAAATATAACCGCACCAATTCTTTAAATTAATAGATGCAATTACATGAAAAATGTAGAATTGGGTATTGGCTAGAGATTTGTATTGCGAAATATTGTGATATTTTGGGCTGTATTGCGATATGTATTTAAATGGTATTTTCTTATTATATTAACTTCCTTTTACATTAAGAATGTACATAATGATAATAATAATAATAATACTTTATTTAAAGAAGGTAACCCGATTAGTGCAAGCACTTTTCTTCCCCGGGGCCTTCAGTAGACAAAAATCAATATACATACATATACAAATACACACAGTCAATAAATAATCATGAATTATTGCGACATTGTTTTTACATATTTTTTTTAACTTGGTGCTTGAAAGCATTGAGTGTTGGAGACAATTTTTATATATACAGGTAAATCATTCCATAACATAGCACCAGAGTATTGGAGGGAATTTTCAAAAAGTGTACATTTATGAGCTGGTACACACAGGTCTAAGTTGGATTCAGATCGAAGATTGTATCGATTATTACTCTGGAAATCAAACATACTATTTAAATAAGTAGAGTTAGAATTAAACAGTGATTTATATAACAGAACATATTTATTTACATTAAGTTACTTATACACTGTGAACCAATCAAGTTTCTCAAAGAGAGGTTGTGAGGCCGCATCAGGGGGAGCATCTAATATATACCTTGCAGCACGTTTTGAAGCTTATGAACTTGGTCAAGATTTGAGTGAGATGTATTACCCACACGGTTAAACAAAAATCAATTGAAGGCATAATATACGCATTGTAAAACAGTTTGTACATTTGAATAGGAAGAAACTTTTTAATTCTACGGAGGGCAGAAATTTTACGTGACAGTGACAATGATAATTTAAAATTTGAATTAAAAATATTCTGTTGATTAAATTACAGTTATGCAATGAAATACATCCATACAACAGGTTTTGTCTTGCTGTCTTACTGTTTGATCACACACCTTTCTGACAACTTATACTTTATACAGTAAGATAGAATTCCTGAGTCCAAACATATCGCCAGTTTATCGGTATTACGTAAACATACTGCAATACGAGATTTTTTGTCAACATACTGCAATATACAGGAATATTGGTATTATTGCCCGGCCCTTTTAAAATGTTTCATCAAAATTAAAATTTAAATGAAATATGGAGATAACAAACGTTATTAAAGCTCAAAGTCCATTTAAACAACACAGATCGGGATCAGAGCAAACATGGACCTCCAAAAACCTCAGAGATGGGATAAGGTGCAATGTAAAAATCCGATACCTAGAAAAAAAACTATAGGGATGAGCTTGTACAAGTTTTTCAGGTCTCAATATATTGGGCGAAAGGGGGGAGGAATTTCATTCAGAAATGAGAGCTTGCCTGGAAATACTTAATTTTAGGGAATCAAAAAAGTGTTCCTTTCTTAAGGTTCATTGATACTTTGATAAGAGAGATAACTCTTAATGACATATATTTTCTATTATTTCTCTATAAATTTATGAAGATGAAAGGTCTTTTATTGTCAAATTTTGTCTCTCAAGCTAGGCAGTACAGTGAAGGTGAGCCAAGGAAATATCGGCAATTTTTAGTGATTTAAAAATATATTCTTAATCAGGATGGCGATTCTTTTTAGTACTATATTTATAATTATCGTTATTAACTACATATTGAGGACGATTAGATTTTATATTTAGAGTTGTCACATGATATGCCATTCACGTGATTTTATCACACATAATTGCAGTATTTAGGTCACCTATAAATAAATATATAATAAATATCATTAGTGCAAGAGCATAACCAATTTAAAATTCTAAGTTAAGTTTATAACTATTTTCAACACGCATTGTGGTTGCTGAAAAGTGCTGCGATTCTATATAAATTCTACTATTTCATTGCTTAAATCAAGTTTGCTTTACCGCATGCTCAAATTTTTGCTGGTCATTAAATGTAGATATAATTAATTCATTTTCAAGATTTCACCAGGATCGTAGCACTTTTCAAATACCTTAATACTTCTAGAGTTTATGTGTAAAAGCTTACTATGATTCATTGCGTGCATGCCCTTGCACTAGATCGATTTATTAAAACCCTTACATTACCCTCCGATGTACTTGCATACAGATATACAATTAAAAAGGAAATGTACGGAAAATATATGAAAAAAATCATAGAGAAGACATTGAATCCAACGTAATGGTCTCCTAAATATCTGCAAATAATATTTTATATAATAATATATTTTTTTCCCGAAAATATTACCTGATCTGCCTCTCACTGCATACAAACTGCGTCAAGTTTTACGAAATGACGCAACATCGACAAGTGCATAGTGATCAGTGACTTGTTTATACCTTGCTTAATAGGATTATACTAATGGCAAAACAGGATGTTATATAGTAAGTTTTGATTTACTTTGATGGTTTCCTACAGTTTAAAATAGTAGATCAATTGACTTTCTTGTATTTTTAAGAATTGTTAGTTTTGTATGTTGTCATAGCCAATATTTCAAACCTTGGCATCAATCACCTGTTATAAATTTTGTATCACTCTATTGGAAAAGGGGTCATTTTTGAACGGGTCAATTTTTTAAAGGACACAAATATAAACAGATGACCCCTAGGGCTCTTTTTCTACAAAAAAAAAAAAAATTTTTCTAAGGCTGGGGGTCACTTTTTTCTCGTTGAAAAAAGACCCCTCGGTCATTATTCTATGGGGGTCATTATTCGTCTTTACACCGGCCTCCTTTTTGTAGCCTAAACTGCGCTGCTTATACTATATTTCTTTTTACTGATGAAGTATAATTCTTTTGGACAATCATTAACCATGCTATATGAGTGAGCAGAAGGTTTCTGTGAACCTTTAAGAGCCCTCTATACACTGCACACTAGAGAGTTCTGATTTTGTGGTATTTTTATGCAAATAGAGTGATCTGCCCTTTGATCAAGAATAAAATAAATTGAAATGTACAATTTATTACTTAATTTGTGATCAAATCAGGCATTCATAACACTTTAATAGGCCAAGATGAATAGATAGAACACTTCATTTGCAGATATTTTGCCCACTTAAGTAAACAACAGTGATTTATGTTCATCAGTACTTCATTGTCTGTGAACATTTTTCCTTGGGGTAAATGCAAGGCACCCTATGTTGAAAATGTGATAGATAAGCTCAATACTTACACCTTTACACACTATAATTTTCTCAATGTCCAAAAAATATTTTCCTCTAGTGTATAGAGGGTCCTTAGGAGTGTAATTTTTATGTGGCACTACCAATTTCGATTCACAGGCTGCAGATGTGCATTTTGACAAATTATGTCTCTTCAGTAATGCTCGTGCCAAAACGTTTTAAATCCGAAATATTTTAATTAAAAAAGACTTTGAAAAGCTTTAAAAAGGGGCTGCCAAAGACAGGAGCCAAAACCGTCGACGGATCAGACCTATGCATGAGGGAGATAATCCTTAATTTTGAAATATATTTCTAAATTTTACCACAGCAAAAAAAAATATATATCCGTATTTTCAAGCTAGTACTGAAATCCTTAGGTACTGGGCTTGATTTGATGAGAATCAGATCAATTCTGTAAATCCGTGATAGAAAGCATCTAACATTAATCATTTCTTAGAACTTTGACTCTATTGCTAAGAAGGGGAATTCTTAAAGGTCAAGTTAAAGTAAATAAAAGTGCCTACAGATTTCCCAAATTTGAGCAAGGGATTCTTTTAATGATCCTGTTCAGCTAAAGCTTGATAAAATGTGTATCTG